TGAAGAGACCAAACAACTGCTTTGAAGGAGACTAACAGTAATCTTACCTGTCTTAATTCCAGAAATGTCATTTGTAGTGTGCCGTCACTTATCCCCTCTACTGGATTGGAGTTGACAAACTCTGAAAGAAATTAAACAGGTTTGCTATATTGTAGAGATTTATTGCCTTTTCAAATCCAGCGGCATCACCCTCTTTCGAAGCAAGCATCCACACCTCTTTTAAATAAGACTACACCAAAAATCGTCCCTTACTGAAATAATTCGCAATAGTAAAAATCGGTTCAGTTTTTTTCGGAACATAACACATTTCCAAACGTTATTTAAGAGACAATTGATTTTAGAGATAAGCTCTCTGAACCCAATTCATGGTAAAGCAAGTGTAGCTTGAAGAAAAACCACACGGTGCCAAAATGGCGGGAAAATTAGTGAATCAAAGCAAGACTAGTTCACTGGCTCGCTCTTGATTGGTTGATTTAATAGCATCTTTGTTGTGATTGGTTACATGTCCCGTTCTGCCCAGCACAAATTCCCTGCGTTAACTACAAGGTTGCGAGTCGCTGCCATATTTTAAAACGTAACTTCACTAAAAGACAAATAAATGGGATCAAACTGAAACTACCTTCACACTTTCTAAGATCTTGGTTAAACCCGTCCAAGCCGTGCGAGTTCATCTGCTTAACCTGGTAAAAGGAGGCAAATAGTAGAAAACAATCGCAGTGAGTGGAGAACTTTTAACCACATCAATACATTTATATATTGTAAAGAGGAAACGAGAGTGAGTCGCAAGAAGAGTATTTCATTTAAGACCTTGAAAACAGAATATTGAGCGTTATGAAGAATTTCCTCTAATGAATTTTAGGGGTTACGCAATGCGATATCAGCTTTCTGTCTCTATCCATGATAGGACAGTTGAAAGTTTGAGTCACAGCCTCCTCCTGTTTTTACCAATAAAGACCAGTTATGACAGTTCAATGCACGAGTAACGAGCCAATCGTTCAACATTTTGCAAACATGGCTTTTGTGTAATCGTACCTCTTCATCTAGTAACATCTCTCTGAGCTTCGTGGCGAGATATTTACATGAAGACATGCAGGCCGTCTGGGCCACATTCCCCTGAGAAAATATCAAGAAATAAACCTAATTGAACCTGCTTTAAACGGAAAGGCAGAGCCAAAACAGTTAAGTGACAGAGAAACAGTCAAAATAGAACATGAAGCTGTAAAATAAGTGTGTAAGACTTACCGGTAGTGTTGTGAAGTTTAGAAAAGTGGTGTGAAGATAGTCCAATAGATCCACAAGATAGCTACTGGCATGTAATCTGGAGTTCACAGGAACCCAATTGTAATTTGCTGAAAACCAACAAAAACTTTTAAATGGGTTTCACTCCTCCAACAACATATATTTTAGATTATTTTAGGATGGAAATTCTAAAAAACACGGATTAAACGAGGGGAAAAATAGCATAGCTCAGTTAAATTCATGTTTCAAGTTCTTAAAAGCTGCTGAAATTCATATTTTAATTTTCCACCAAAAAGTTTGAGTTTCTTATTCCATTTGGATTTCACAGAATGACAAGAAGAATGCAGATATCCATAGAACACAACAGAAATAACAACGTTTTCGTTGCCGATGCTGATGCTAGCTCTCCATCATGGTTAGTAATGACTTATATGAAGATGGTTATAAAATAAACAGTCACGTAAAAGAGCGCCTTGAGTGCTATAAGAGGTTAAACGAACGGATGGAAAGCCTTCCTTAGAAAGATTTGGATAAAGGAAGTATAAAGCTATAAAACCTACGACAAATTATTGCAACAAAAACTTATTGCGTTCCTCAGAATTTAATAATAGTTTCTTCTGCAAATTTTTAATTTAGGGGGCCTTCTTATTAACAATGACCAGGTTAAATCTGTTTTTGTAAAATAATCATTTTGGGGTTTAAACTGATGACAAGAAGCAGGGATATTTAGAACCAAAGTAAGGTGGCCATAATCGAGTTTTGGGTTAATAGTGTTGTTGTTTCTTAGTGTTCTTAAGTTCCAATTGACTCCAACCACTCACCAACGTATCAACTTGTCTACAAGTCTCCTCAAACACGATTCGACTCGCACAAGTAGCAAGTCGTCCACAAGTCAACATCGCCTTTAAATAAACCCCTCCAAGAGTCAGCTCTCCCACCAGACAACTAGCCTAAAAGTCTGCTCACTTCCAAGTTAACTCACTCAAAAGTCGACTTGCTCACCGATCAACTTGCCTATAACTAGGAACTGCATTGTATACACCCCATTTTGACATAAATAAGTATTTACATACCTAACTCTACAAAGTCCTCTATTTTCATATTAAGTCTTTCGTAAACTTGTTGTTCTGCCTCAGCTCTCATATCCTGGTGAGATAAGACATGAATATTGTATCTTATACATTACCACATCAAACAGCTTATGTTACTGGAATAAAACAACATTTTCCCTAAAAACAAAATCATCAACAAAGCAAAAACAAAAACCGTTATCTACGATACATTCAAAACAAATCGCACCATACACCATAATACTATCTATGCCACCGCACACAATATATTGTACGTCCATCTTTAAACCCTCAATACACACCCATCCACAAACTCGAAAGGTGAAAACATACAGATAAAGCCAAGCGTACATATAAATGAGGAGATGGCAACCTGGAGCAATTTAAGAGCTGTAAAATTTTCTACTTACTTTGAACGATGACAACCCATAAACTCGTGAAACATTAATTCTTTCACTGGAGGTTCTACGATTCAACACGAGCAAAGTTAAACACGATTATTTGAAATGTTGTCTATTCCACTTAGTCACAGTAACTTCTGAGATCGTGGGACATACCCTTAATTTTTTTTCAGATCTATTTTTTTGATGCAAACTACACAAAATGTTAACCTAATATAAAGGCCAAGAATAAACTATACGAAAATTTTAATTAGAAAAAAAATTTAAGAGAGACCAATTCAACACCTACTTACCCAGTCACTGCAGTCACATACTCTTCAAGATGATTGCAGGCCTCTTCTAAATGAATTGTGTTAATGGACATTTGAACAAGCTGTTAAGACAAAACAAATGACATAAATTTAGTATCATTTAACCTACCCTGAACTTTGCAAAAATGGAGTGTTCTAGCAAATAACCTTCACAAACAACTGAGTACCACCATGCTATTCATTCATCTTGTCATTTTTTCATTTATTCATTCATCTCGTTGCTCATTCATTCATTCATCTCTCCATTTGGTCATTCATTCAATTTCATACTACAATATATTTAATATGTGTTTACTTTAAAATAATCTATCTTAAGCCATTGATTGAATGCTTGACTTAGAGGCAGACACACCTGTGGAATTGACATTGTTGGCCTTCTAATAATAGATGTTATGCAACCTAAGAAAAAATAATGATGATATTATGATAAAAAATTAAACAGATCACTTTAAAATTTCTTGTTTTTCAAAACTAGACTCATCCTTTAGCCAAACTCACCATTGAGTGTCCTTGTTAGTAGTAAATTTGTTGACTTTCGCACCGAATCTCCAATCTCAGTTTGACTAGAGAGAGAGAGAATGAAGAACATGCCTATGAAGTTACTGTAACTACATGGAAGGTTACATGCCTTCACAAAATAGATGCAGTTGTAGGTGTAGCAAATAATTGTTTACACACCTAAATATTCCTTAACTTACACAATAAATGTGTTAGAATAAACCTAACAAATTTCAGTTGTAATCACCACTGACTCTGCTATTACAATGTTATGAGAAATGTACCATGAAATTTTTTTACCACCAAACTATACCAAAAGATGCTGTGAACCAAAAGGAATCTCAGAATGACATAATTATGTAGTTTAGGATAACAAGTTTATGAGGGAAAGCTTATTGCAACAGCAAAAGTACATGTAAATTGCCAATAGAAAATAAGCCTGACTCCTTTCTACAAACTGAAATTATCAGCAGATCACCCATTAGAAAGGTACATGTAAATGGCATTACTGTAACCATTTATTGACCAAAGACACACTCATAAAATATTATCAGAAGACAAGTGTGTATCTTGTGAAAACCTCAGAAAATAAGTGCACTGACAGTAGAAAGATCATTAAATTTCATAGAAATACCCACGGCGATCAACTATGGTGAATAAGGTACTAGGTAGTATTAGAATACACATATTACCTGACGTTGAGGTTTTCATTGAATTTTAAACATGATCTTATGTAGTGTTTGACCTGCAAAGTAGAACAAGTGGTTATTTAATATTTTTTGGAGACACAGGCAGGCTATAATTTTTAGAGCACTTAACTAGCAGTTTACATAGTACCTCTTGATAGATTTTAACAACACCCTCAGAAAATGGAAGCTGCCTTGGGAAAGGATGCTAGGGAAAAAAATAAAACAATGTTCAGAGATCATCACATTAGATGGATACTGTTGCACTGCTGGCAAAAAAATTTTAAAAAGCCAGAAACTACACATAGCTTGTAAACTGTAATGTTTACCTCTAATAGGAATATGTAATCAAAAGATGTTGCAATGACAACAGTGGCATTGCAATTATGCGAAAACATTCAATTTTCAATTCTGGTGTCTTATCTATGATATTGGCTTGTGCAAATAAGGTTGCTATTACTTGAGTTCAAGCAACTCAGCATGCTTTCATACCCTCAAATCATTCTATGTTGTGAATTATCACCAAAGAAGTGTGCTGCAGACTATCATGGAGGAAACCACAACACAAATAATTAAAACAAGGCACACAAATATATTGTGGTCACATAGTTGGTTAACCTGGTATCTTAAAAGACATTTTAGATGGATGATGACATAGAGATCCATAGAAACAATCTCATGGAAACCCCTTGAAAGAAGAATCACTACAGATGACCTTCCGAAAGATGCTGCTAGATGATGATGATGATGATGATGATGATGGCGACAATGACAATGGACCCTCTAACTCCCTTTTTAAAAACTCTAACTAAGCCTCATTAATACCTGTAGAACCTCTGTCTCATCAAAAGGAAATTCCTTCAGGATGTCATTGTACTCAGTCTCATCTTGGCAAAGCATTGGTGTATAGTTATCTTCATCAAAAATTTTCCTTTGTGGAGAAAAGAGAGTTTGTACTAAAAGCCTTTAATAATCCATTTTGCTCAAAAAAACATGAGACACTCTCACATGTAATGTACACATATATAGAATTGTGTTATAACTACAGCTTTGCTCTGAATTTACAATTACATTTCATTTAATAGTACAGTCTATATCCAGACAACTTTTGTTACATATCAGCAATTAGGATAATAGCACCATTACATACTTGAAAATAGCTTCCCAATCCTTTGATAAAATTTCATTGTACTGAAGTCTAGAAAAAGGTACAAGAAGAAGGTTAAAAGTTACACATAAATGTGCAAAGAATAGTAAAAAATACTAAAAGAGAAATTCTAATAAATTACACCAGACAGAAATTACTTGCTACCTATTTTGGCTACAGATGGTGAAACTCTTTAACTAATCAAGGACTGTCCTGAATAGTTTAAAGAATTGTTCAATTGAAGTGAAATGATAGATACCTTATTGACAAGATCTCAAAATTACAATGCTAGTAGTTCTTGTTACTAGTTATAATTAGGATTCCAACCTTACCTCATTTCTAGAAGAACATCAAAAATTTTATTTACATTAAATCCAAAACCCTGAAACGAAAAAGAAAAGCAAAAACAGAAATGTAAATTTGAAGATAAAGACATCCAAATTTGTCATTAAACATGCATAAGAGGTATGAATTATACATACTGACAGGGTGTGACAGAACCACACAATGAGTTCTTTCACTTTTAAAAGCAGAGATGGTTCTTCACAGTAGGCCTAAAAAAACAGCAGTGAGATGTCAGTTAATATGTAAACCATCATGAAAAAGAAATGGGGAATGCAGTCATATGCTTTATTTGTCCTTTATCTTCCTGGTAAAGCAAAGGTTACAATGTACCCTTACTTATGCCTTTTAATAAATACTTAGAAAGAAGTGCTCACAGATTTATTTTGATACCCTGACTTGCAGTATAAAGACTGTCATGTACATGTAGGATTTCATTTAAACCATATACATTTCTTCTTACCGATTGTGTACATGTGATGAGCACAGGTGCAATCTTGTTTGCTGCCATTTCCCAAAGATCATCAACCGTTGACCTGTTGTTTACAGTATATAATTATATCAACATGTTTCATAAACAACTTGAAAACTCTGCCACTGCTTGGGCCTACTGCTGCTCTTGTAAGCTATTTGATTTTTGCTTATAATAATGTACTGTACATTATTTTAACAAATCACACAACTATTTTTTACAAAAATCTTTTTTGAAGCTTCACATTACAATCAACTAGCTTTAATAATCAAACCACTTCCTCCCTGACCACACACACTTAAGTTGTTCATTAACTGGTCAATGTTGCAAAGAAAAAAAAACTTGTAATAAGGGCCAGTTCACACTACACAAAATTGTTTGCTTTGCAAAAAAATCTGTCAACGCGAAACCATTTTCAATGCAAACAATTTATTTGACCCACCAAAGTTTTCACAAGTGCCAAAAAACTTCAAAGATACCATCAACTAGCTTTGGAGGCCAACAATTTTTTGTCACACGAGAAAATCTATTGTTCCTTCCCAGATACCCTTCAACTGGTCATCACATTTCATAATTGATACCAGGCTAACTGATATTATGTATGAGTGTTTTCTCTCTGAATGTAGCCTCTTAAGAGTGTTAGTCAGTTGTCCAATGACTCTCTCCCCATTTTCAAATGTTTTCAGAAGAAGGCTCCAGGGAAGTTATGCTGGTGCATGTGGATTTCAAACCCGGATTCTACAGGTCAAGGAAATGTCTAGTACAGGTGAAAATGATGGCAGCATCAATGTCTGTTGAGCAGCTGAGTTAACATCTCCGTGATCCATAAAAGCCGAATCCTTCCCAACAAAACCAGAGTTAATTGTTGACTTACCAAAATCAGGTTTTGTATGGCAAGCAAACAGCAAAGAAGGGCCATTAAAACATATCGCGGGGGTATTTTGCTTTGCAATCAGTCTTTGACTGGAAATAACTTAGAAGGAAAAGCACTGTCATGAAATCTCGGTAACTATTCCGATTGATTGACATTTGTGGTTACACAAATAATTCACATGTCTCAAGTGTGAACGCTATTATGAAAACAAAAAATTGTTGTTACAAAATTTTTAATTTTTTTGCAAATACCAAACCAAATTTTTCAGCAAGGTGCAAACAGGGCATAAGCAAAAAAAACTTACAAGTGAAGTCACACATACACGCACAGTACATTTTATTTCCAAGAAATAATTATCAACTAATTCTTCATTTTCATGAAATTGACATTAAGTTATCTGATGGTAGCTACTGTCACTTTTTCCAACTTGAAATGTACTTATAGTAAATTATTAAACAGTGTGCAATACCTTGTTACAAGGCCCTTGGTTGTGTGTAGAATTATATCCTCAACCACAAAGAACCTTAAGGTGAGGGAATCAACAATTATTTCCATTTAGGGAGGTATCAAAGAGCAATAAAGAACCACAAATGCCACATCCATAAAAAAAAAAAAAAAATTATAAATAACTTTATTTAAGTGTCAGTGTATTTTAGCACTGCTGTGCTAATTGGGGACACTGTAAATAAGGAAACAAATATCGTAAATGAACAGAAACTCGTTAAAAACCCCAACTGGTAGGAGGCCGACCAGTTGGCTATTTACAAAGCGTGCTGGAGTTGAATTCGGGGCCACCGAAGACAAATCCATCCAGTGGCAGGGAGGAGGACTTGAACCCGGGACCTCCGGCTTACAAGTGCAGCGCCCTAACCACTAGGCCACGCTCGCCTCCTCCATCCTAACATTAGTATGACCTATTGAGACATATAGTGTATGGAAGCTTTCTAATGACACTGAAAGGTAAAATTTTCATAGAGAGGGGCTATGCTTGCCTAACTTTTCTGTGAATCAAATTTAAGATACCTCTAAGAGCAGTGCTAAGGTTATTATAGCAAGAGTTGAGTTGGATTTTGGTTTCAGCCCTGATTGACTCACCCTACAATTTGATGAAAATAAGATCTATACACTTCCAGGTTTCCATCCTGTTAGCAAAAAAATAAAGGACTTTAAAACTTATTCTGAACTTGGCACAGATCCTATGGTGGATAATTAACATGCTGTGAATTTATATAATAACAATATAACAATATGAATGATTTATATAGCTTTGTTTCTACAAGATATCCAATAGTACTTTACAATAATTGTAATTAAGTTTTAATTTTTTGCAGCTTACTTACTAAGTCTTGAATATACATGATCCCTTTTGACAGTACAGAAATATGAGGCTTAAAGTATTAAGGCTCTCCATATCATACATATCAAATCGTCTCTAAAAACTCACTCTACTTCCAGAGCTTAGTTCCAGAGCAAGACGAGCTTGTTTTCTTCTTTGTTTCCTGTAGTAATTATCAAATGTCTCTCTTTCTCCCTATAAGAAGAATAAGTATGCATTTAATTGCTTTTCAATTATTTCTTCCATGTTCAAAGAACTGAACGGATTGAAGGATATCATGCATAAATCACTCACTACAACAGTGAAAATGTACAAGCACTTGTACACTGGGGAAAAGTCCACCAAATCTTGAGCAGATTTGTCTAATTCCTGTAAAGAGAAAATAAATCATATTTAACAAAGAAAACTTTTTGCTCCCTCTCTGCACTAGTATCTGCTCAAAATGAAAGCACCATCAACGAGTGTTCTTCATTCACCTAATTTATTCATGTTTTCTTGTCACCATACTCCCACCAATAGTGCAGCTCCACTTTCTGCATATAAACCCACATAACCCATAATTCCTCCAATTGCTCTGACAAAGGGTTAATGCTCGAAATGTCAGCTTTTTCACCCTTTAGGATGGCCAATTTACATTTTCAACTCAGTTCTTAACACTAAATTACCTCTTATTAACAAACTTGACATCCTGCATGGGTTATCATACTGTAAAACCAGTGAACTTTGCTTTACAACAGAGTGCACTCACAATGTAATCTCTCCCAATTTACTTTCATTTGGTTTTTAGTCTACATTTACCAATTTTAAATTATTCTAATAACATTCTTATGACAGCAACTCTGCTATTGTAGACACTGTGCAAACTTACTTCGTCTTCTCCTTTCTTCTTCAAACCAACTCCTGGCATAAGTGTTAAGTTATTCTTTTGTATTGCCTAAACATATACAAAATAGATTGACCTCAATTAAAATTATTACAGTACAACTGTTGCTGTAGATTCACCAAAAACATGTTCCCAAATTCCAATGATTTTCCATACCAGAAAGGAAAACCAAATTATCTACCCAAATAAAAACAGGAATACAGAACTAGTTCATTTTTAGAAATTAACTAGGTTTTTGCGTTTTTACTATTTCTGTGGTAATTAAGTTATCATTAAGCTAAACAGAGTTAGCAACTAGTAATGATCAGGTAGATGCATGTAATAAAGTAAGAGCTACTGTATACACTGGTAGCCTAAAATACTCAGGAACTAACCTGTTTCATTGCTATTGAGCCCAACCGGACAGAAACCTTCCTAATTTTCTCCAGAAAATCCTACAGGACAAAAAAAGTAAAAGTCGATTCATCTAAAAGGAACAAATAGACAGCATGAATTAATCAAATCCATAACAAATAGTTAAGAGTACTCAGTCTGACTGAGTACTCTTAACTGAGACAAATTTACAAGCCAGATTGCTGCTAAAGTCTACACCAGCTCCTAAAGTTTGAAGTGATATGGCATACTAAGGGTTAATCAAAAACATTTTATCAGGTTTCCCTGACATTCCTCTGATAATCATTTAAACTCTTATAAGGATCACTGTGAGAATAAGTTATCTGTCACAACATGATGAACGTGGCTATAGCTTGAATCAAGACCTTGAGATCTAGAGTCCACTTCACTTGACCCTAAGTCATTGTTGAATAGCAGTTTCTTTAGTATGTACCCATCTTTTCTCAACTGATTAACCAAGTATGTAGTGAATCACTGAGTTTTTTTGGAGCATATTTCTCACCCTCAGGTCACCCATTGAAGCTTCTTTGATGTGTTTTCTAACAACAGGTATACTTTCTTGCATGATCTCTGCAAATCTAAATCTGCCAGTCAAAGGCAAAGTATTTCAAGATTAAAGATAAGATATAAACTTTGACAAAAGAGAGTTAACTTATACTAGCCATTCAAATCAAGTTAAAAGATTGAAAGTTAGGTAAAATGCTAGTACAATATAGTAGATCCAGGTACAACATTCACTAACAGTGTACATAACCAGTCAGGGCTTGCAAGATCCTCACCCTAGAAGTTTAATATACCTTTTTATCCTTGGAAGATAGGTGTGTTCAAGCTGCTCCAATGTTTTTAATGCTGGGTAATACCTATTAGTAAACAATAGTTGCAGTACAACATAGTTATGAGATACGGATACTCCAAATATTAATCAAGAAGTACACAATGTAACTTCTACTTTTCAAGAATGTGAAAGAACTAATAGAGAAGAAAGAACTGACCTTCTATTATGCATCTGATCTTTAAGTTTAGCGTACATCTCAAGCACTGCAATAGGGCATTTTTCTTTCAGAACTTAATTAAGACAAAATAGTCCCTTCACCCATTTTTAAAACATATTGGGAAAAATACTATAACAAACAAATAATAATCAGAAACTGATCTAATAATCTACCAAACGGTCTCTATTACTTCATTAAACCCATACAGAGTTAGTATCAATCAACAAGAGAGGTACCATTTCACAGATGGGTAAGTTATCACAGCATTTGGACACAAGTTAACAGACTGTAGAGCTGGATACAACATTTTTCATAATCATTTACCTGGTAAACAGAGGCTAAGAATCTCGATTGCAGATACAATATTTCTCTGGGTTGTGCGACAGTATATCAGGTTTTCACACTTGCTAAAGAGCTACATGCACCAAATACAAGAAGAAAAACCAAGGTTAAAATTTTTCAAACAGAATCACAGACACCACTTTTATTTAAATATAATCGTTTTTTCACAAGAATGTCTATAATAACCATCCCTTCAAAATTAAAGAAAACTATGATAAGTGTAATATTGCACATTAAGTTATTTTTAATAGAACAACATTCAAAAATCATCATCTCTGTTTATTAATGTGGTGGCTAGACAAAGGGTAAGGTGGAGGAGGTTATCTGCTTCAAACTGATTGTGCCTCCCTTGTCTAACAACAAATTTATCTGTTAAAATGAATGACTCCTCACCACTTTTTTTGCTGACAATTTTCAGAGGTGATAATGTGAGAAGGTAAAGATAAATCAAATCACACAAGCTGAGATTAATTAGATGCTGGGTGGCTGATTGTTTTTGTTTCCTGCCCCTAAGGGTCATCAGATGATTGCAAATCTCATACACATTTAATAATAAAATGATGTGCCTTCTTAACAAATCTATTGAAAAATATAGCATAATGTTTTGATTCTCTAGAGTTAACTTTCTGAGTCCAGTTTAATTAGTTTTAAAACTTTCCAATTATCAGTCAAGAGAGAATCTTTTATTTCTAACAAATGTTGACAAAATGCTCAAGTGCACTAAAAACAATAAAACCCCAAATGTTCATTTCTTTGACTTTTTATGCTTTTAGTTGTCCTAAAATTTCCCCCTGTCCCCCAATAAAAATAGGGAGTAAAATTGAATTTCTATGCACATATTTACAGACCTCACGTCCTGATTCTTGCATGGATTCATTCACTTCCTTTATCTTGATCTAATAAACAAATAGAGACAGGTATAATTTTTTATTATGACAGAGAGATAATATATAACTAGTATGAAAATACACCTTAAAAAATTTTTTTGCTGGAGAACAGTGGCCTTTTTCGGACAGAACAAATCAACTAAGTAATTTTACCATGACTCGCAACTGTCACCTACCCCCAGTGAAGGAATGAGCTGACATTCTTAAAGTAATTCTAAAAAACTGCATAAAAATTCTCAGATCTGTATTATTTGCGAATCCTACCGCACTTTATGCCCAAACACTTAAATTCAAATTTAAAAAACCCATCGCAAGCCTCTGCTAAGAAACGATCAAAGTCGTGCAAAAGTGATGGCTTGATAAGGAAATAATAATTCCATGAAATGAATGTACATCTCACGAATCAATAAGAATCGAAAGTATAAACCATATCTAATATTAAGCCAATCAAATAACATTACAATATTCTAAACACACCACTCCTTTGACATAAGTACATTCAAATACCTTGAGTTTCCGTGCTTCTCCGCGAACTTTGAGCAATTCGTTAACAGATTCGATGAAACCTTGGTAGTGATAGTTACACATCCGCTCGATGTCCTTATCGTGAACTCGTATGCGATCCTCCAGTTTATCCATAAACTCAGTGTGTTCTTCTCCATCGTAGACGGCTCTAAATTAGTCACCAAAATGAGAGTTCAGTTATACAAAATCATTGGAGACGGCACTTCCTTCACCTCCTGTCAAAATTTGAGGCGAAGGAAGGAGGTATCGCTGCTGAATAATTTTTGATTAATATCGATTCACCTTAAGGTCGGTCCAAGAAGTCCGTCACTCGATTCAATTTCCGCTAAGAGGTGCTCAACATGAGAGCTAGATACCGTTGGCTCTGTCCCCATCGCAATAAAATAGACCTGCTCCTTCAAGGTCACGTTATATATGGCTGCAGGAAAACACAGACCGAGCCATCCGCCATCTTGAATTAAAATCCAAGAATGTGTGAGCATGCGTGACAGCTGTTTCCTGCAACATCTTTGGGCCTCGTTTCAAAATTGGCCAAGGGCCTGGTAATGACTGAAATGTCTTACATAATATGTTATCCTCTTAACAGAAGCTTTGAACAGAGGTAGCCGTGTTTCGTTATTGTATTTTGTGAAATATTTAAAGCACGATGTCAGGAGAAGCACCCATCACTACAGGTAATACACAGTTCGAAGAAAAGCCACAAAAAGGCGAGAAGAAAAAGCTAAGACCGTGCTGTGCTTGTCCAGAAACGAAGAAGGCACGTGATGCTTGCATCGTGGAAAACGGTGAAGAAAATTGTGGCGAACTTATCGAGGCACATAAAGAATGCATGAGACAGATGGGATTCAACATATGATATGAAGAAATTCAAATGCTATCAGCTGTGATCAAGGATTCAATTTTTGGACAAGGAGACAGTTTCGTTTTGAAGCGTGTAATGCGGTGAGCTGGATGATGCAACCATGGGCAACCATTAAGACACATGTAATTTACAAGTAGACGTTTAATCCTGCAAGGTCCGATCAAGTGGAAAATTGGTGAAGGTTATGAGTATGCAACCTACTTTTGAGCAGCTTTTCCTAATTACCTAGAATTTCGCAGAAGTCTAAAGAAGGGAAATGTTGACGAGAGACTAGAATATTGGTTAACCTTTAACTCCCAAGATCTGGTTGTTAATTCTCCCCTCTAGCTGTCACACATTTCCTTTAAAATAAGTTAAAAGAATATGGTATTAGAATAAGAAGAAAAACTTCTATGTGATAAGTTTAATTATTCTCATTACCTGTTTGTGAGATAGTGTATGGATATTATATGAAGAAGATACCCCTCAATCACTTCTGGGAGTTAAAGGGTTCAGTTGTATGGGGTTCTTTCACGAAACATGTTACACCTAGGGAACAGAAATGTGAAGAGGACAGTTTTGAGGCCCTAATCATCCTTAAAAGCTGAGTAGCAACTGGGCATTTTTGAAATTTTTGTCAGTAATAATTATTAACAAATGAAAGGTGCCCTATTTTTTGTGTGTTTGATGGTAATTCCATTGGTGAAAAGAATACTCCCGTATTTCCCTGTCACATATTTGATTAGAGTTTCCTCGATTCTTGTATTTGATAAGTAAACTTGTGAACTTAAATAATGTTGATGATTTAAAATAATGCCTCTGGTGGCTAGTGAAATGCTGTTGATAAAAGAGCAGCTAGTCTGCAGAATTGTTTTACAAAATCTGGCCATGCAGATGACAGTTCACATGTGAAAGGTATATGTCAAACAAATAACAGTATGCATATGATTCTCACAGGTGAACTGATATCAAAATAATAATTAATATTCAGAGAAAAACTAGCTTGAGGAAATTTAAGGTTTGAAAGCATGCCTCCCAGATACCAGCTTCATACTACCAGCAATCAAGCTATGGAAGGCATGTTGGGTAGGTGGCAAGGAGGGGGGCAAAGAGGGAGTTCAAAGTTTGTGCCAAAGAATCTTGTCTTAAATATGTACAATTGATTGAAATGCTGATGCTAACCGATGATGCAGTGGTCCTCACTTACTGAAAAAGAAGCCTGGAAAAAATTCAGGCTCTAACATAATTAATTTTCTGTGCCACCTGGCTGTTTATGTAGACTAATTTAATAAGAACATCCTTTGCATGGTTTTTCAGTAAGGGAAAAGGTCATGTACTGCAGCTTGGACTCACTCTTACACCTTAACATCAGTATTGTTATTCTCCATACTGTTTTCTGTACATGACAAGGAGAATTTGTAGGACAATCAAGGGCTTCTTTAGTTGGTGATAATTTCCTTATTCTCATGACCCTAATGTGTGATTTGAGGTGATGTTGTAAGTGAAAGGGGTGCTAGCCACTGTTACGGTTTGGGGCATTAATTCCTTGTGTAGTGACATTGAAAGTGCAGCACAGCCAAAAGGGCTTGAAGCCATCACCTCCAACTTCCCCCCACCCCCACCCCCCCCCCACTAATGTCACCAAAAACTTTAAAAAACTATTTGTGAGAAACAAGCCCTAGACCCTTATCAAAGCTTCTTCCATCAGTATCTGCATTTTAGTACACAAGTTACCTATTAATTTTACAGTCAGTGCTTGAATAGTCCTCTGTAATGATAATTTGTAAACAGCCTGGCTGTTTGTAAGTTACCATTGCAACCTGGAAAATTCCTGAATACTCTTGGAGTGGCCCTCATAATTGTGTACCTGCACAAGTCTTATTTACAATCAGCAGTCTGTCACATTGCATAAAATTTGTTCAACTGCACCAGGAGCAATACATTTGAGACAGTTTTGTACATTAGTGAATAGTGATCTGCTTGTGTGCATTCCCATCTTGAATTATTTAATAAGAACATTCTTTGCTTGGTTTTACAGTAAAATAAGGTCATGTGCCGCAGCTTGGACTCACTATTACACCCTTACATCAGTACACTCATTTTCCAAACTGTTTTCTACACATGACAAGGAGAATTTGTAGGACAATCAAGGGCTTCTCTAGTTGATGATAATTACCTTATTCTCGTGACTATGGGGTTCCAAACCAGTCAATATTCCCTCTGTATTTCTGTGACTCAATTTATTTTTTATATGGTCAGTTCGACTTTTTATACGGTCAACTTTTTACTTTTTATATGGTCAACTCGAGTTTTATGTGGTCAACTTTTTACTTTTGATTAGATAAATTTTTACTTTTTATATGGCTAACTCAACTTTTTATATCGGTCATTGTAAAACACAAACTTTAGACTGCAGACTGGGGTTAAAGTGCGGACTGAGGTTAAAATGCAGACTCGGTTCTAAAACAACCCGCCTCCCCGGAAAAACTCTAAGAGTGTGCAAGGATTCAGGTCGCGTAAGTTGTGAGAGGCTGGCAATAATCGTCAAAGCGATTGATGTTTCGGACTTCATTTCCTCAGATAGTTTTGGCGTTGAAATATTTATTCTAAGGTAAGAACGATTAGCAATGAAACTGTTTGAATATGCAGTTCACAGCCAGCTAAATACATTTCCCTTGTTAAGGAAAAAACAGTTCTGCTGAGCAACATTAGCTTTAACATGCATTAAGCTCACGTATACTTTGTTCGGCCTTTAAAGATGTAGCGATAGACTTTCATCACACATCGGCAACTTCGATTACTTGGACAGTAAAAACCTATTTCTCGTACCGTTGTTCAGTTTGCGCTGCGAAGGTAGGCGTGATCTTGGAATCGGTGCTTTGTATTAGAAGCTTCAAGACGTTTAACACTTCGCTCTTGCGCCTCACGATTAGGTCGATACTGCGATCATAAACGGTTTATTCTTCAAGAACCGAGTCTGCATTTTACCCCCTGATCTGCAGTTTTCATTCTGCATTTTACCCCCGGTCTGCAGTCTGCATTTTCACACTGACCATATAAAAAGTTGAGTTGATCATATAAAAAGTAAAAAGTTGACCGTATAAAAAGTCGAATTGACCATATAAAAAGTAAACAGGGTCATACAAATGCAGAGGGAATATTGACTGGTTTGGCGCCCCATAGCGTGACCCTAATGTGTGATTTGAGGTGATGTTGTAAGGGAAAATTAGAAGCTAGCCACTCTTAGGGTTCGGGGGGTTAATTTTAACCTTATGTAGTGTCATTGAAAGTGCAGCACAGCTAAAAGGGCTTGAAGTCTTTAACTTCCCCCACACTAATTTCACCAAAACCATAAAAGGACGGTTTGTCAGAAACAAGCCCCAGACCCCTCATCAAAGTTTCTTCCATCAGTATCTGCATTTTAGTCCGCCAGTTAACTTTTTATTCCACACTCAGTGCTTGAATGGTCCTCTGTCATCGTTCTTGTTTGTTAAAGTGTTAGGTAAATGGTTGTTCAAACATTCTGCACTTTTAGGTCAATAAACTCAGATCTTGAGCAATTCATCTGAGCTCAAGGGAAAGCTCTTTAACTTATAATTTACTGTTAACAAATGAGTTGAAAACGTAATTTAGCCACCGTAAAGGGTAAAAGTAAGAAGCTTTTTTACCCTTAAGGTGGCTAATTTACGTTTTCAACTCAGTTGTTAACACTAAATTACCTGTTATACTCTCCCACCGACGCAGCATCACAGTTTCTTTAGAAGCTTACCCCCTTTATTCATAAGCTATTTAACTTAGCTTATCATGCTTCCTTGCGAATTTCTTATTTCAAGCAAATAAAAAAATATATTTGAGCGAATACGTAAAACTGCACTTCTTCGGAGTCGGTAAAAATTTCCCGTAGATAGAAAAGAACAGGTGTAAAGAGAGCGATGATCTCTTAAGAGTGTGATAATTTTTTTGTTCAAATATGTGTTGATGTTCACACTTCCTTTCACACATTTATTATATTAGAAGTTCTTCGCCTTAAAGTGTGTCAAAAATCTTTTTGTTTTTAAACATAGGCACTGAGGGTTATAAGGAAAAAAACTAGATTCATCACTTGAATTTATAAAGTGTACTTTTGACAATTGATAAAAAAAATAATGCACCGAAAATAAGCTCGTGATCAATTAGCAACCTTAAAAATCGTTTTTCCGTAATACTTTTCTGATGATTTTCACACATAAGTGATGACGGTTCGCGTATTGCGTAACCAAAACTTTGCACAAGCAACGAAAGAAGTTGTCGTGATGTGTACAAATTAAATTGTCTTCCAAGGTTTTCCATGTTTAGCATGTCGGCAATACTGCATGCTTCCTTTTTTTTTAGGTTATCTGCAACTCTTAGAAAACATTGATCGCAATCTTAAATAATAACCTTCGGTATCGATCATATTAAAAGATAAAATAACTTCATTAATTAGGATGAAAAGGGAGTGATGTAAAATTGTTACTATTATTGTGAAAGAAACAGTACAAAGGGATTGCTTTTAAGATAGCTGAATAGAAGGTTTTTGTTACGAGGATACGAGCATACTTTTTTTGTTAAATTGCGTACATAAAGTTAAATGCTTTTCACTTTTCGCTGGAATCCTTGATAGCTGGAATCCTTGATAGCTGGAACAAAAAAGAAGGAAAGGTCTGTAGGAACTGGTTTTATTTTTTTGTTTTTCTGCTTTTCTTAAATTGACTTTTTCACATTGATTTGTGAGCTTAGTCTAACGTGGTCTCTCTAAACAACTGCTGTTGGCCAAAACATGCCGTTTTAGAAGCAGGCTGCGGTTTTTTCCAAGTTTTTTTGTTTCAGGCCACTACTGTCGCCAATGCTTGTGTTTAAAATCAATTCGGCAAGTGCGCTTAAAACTAGCAATAATTGATCAGAAGTAGAACGATGCGAATTTTCGATTTCGAACTTCTTTAATAGAAGCTTCTGTGTACTTAATGTTACGCCCTATCTTTGAAGGAGGTGCGGTGGCCTCGTGGTTAGTACGCTCGACTCCGGATCGAGTGGTCCGGCTGCGAGCCCTGGCCGGGGTCATTGTGTTGTGTTCTTAGGCAAGACACTTTACTCTAACAGTGCTTCTCTTCACCCAGGTGTACAAATGGGTACCAGCAAATATGTTGGGGGTAACCCTGCGATGGACTAGCATCCCATCCAGGGGGGAGTAACAATACTCCTAGCCGCTTCATGCTAAAGGAAACCGGAGCTAGGCGCCGGCCCCATGGGCCACTTGGGCCTGTATAAAGGCTTTTATTTATCTTTGAGGTAATTTTTACTGACTCTTGTTCGCCAAAAACATCTTTCATACGTTTACCTTGCGAGCAGAAATTTAAAGAAACGTTACCCCTTGCATAAGGAGTGTTAGATTTAAGACCATTTTTCGTAAAAACCGAGGCCGAGTTGCAACTTCCCGCTCGATCACTTGTGCTGCCTGGCGAATTCAAGCAATAAATCACTGCCAGAGCACTGATCTAACCACAAACAACTCGAAAAAAAACATGGAACTAAGTGAATTTCTAGTTACGTTTCGCCTGGTCTGATAATTACTTGGATGAAATAAGTCAATAAATGGTGCGATAAGTCTGCCACGCACACCCACCGTCTTGTTTTTCTAAGTTTACCTAACTGTTTCGAAATATTTTTAAAGTTCACGAGATTGAAATGGTTCCTTTTAGGCGAGGGGCACTATGCGGTGCCTTCTATTTACAGTGCTGTTACTCTCGCTTACCGTATTCGAGCTTGGTAATGGAGAGGAAAGCGTTTCTGATGTAAGCATGACGAAGAAGGATCAGGAAATCGATGATTTAGCAAATCTTGAGGATGACGACCAACCAGACGATAACGCTCAAGATAGGTGGTTGGCCCCAGAGCTGTACGATGAAATAGAAAAGCGTAGTAAAGGCAAGAACCAAAATAAAAACAAAAACAAAAACAAGAACAAGACCACACCCGCCCCAACAGGCAGGCCAGGGGAAGAGGGTCAGGAGGAGCTCCCGACAAAGAAGAATAAAGGAGGAAGCAATAAAAATAACACGAATAAGAATAACCCAAAAAACAGGCCAGCTAAGAATCTGTTTTCAGAGAAAGGTAAGATTGCCTGCCATAACAAATGACTTCATCCCGTTTTTCGTATTTTTTATCAAGATTTTATTTGTCAACCTCAAAGGCGGCCATTGACAAGTGTGTTTAGCACATGTTACTCATTGCACTTCTTAACTACTTCGTGCACATATTTTGTCCATCTTGCAATTAGGCTCAAGTCGTAATCACGAAACTATTGTTTTATTCAACATGATTATCAGTTCATCTTTCTCTCCCCTCGGAGTCTCCCTATTTCTTTCCTTCCTCAGTTCTTTTTTCCCTCCTTCACTTTCATTTGATCTCACTCTTTTTTGATTCTGATTTTCAAATATCCCTCACCGTCTTTCCACCTTTTCTCAACTTTTTTTTTATCTAGATTTTCTTCCTTTTTCTTTTTTACATTTCCGATTCCTGATCTTCTTTTTATCTCTTTCTGTTTATGATCTCCAGAAATACCTTTTTGGTTTTTCCCCTTGGGATGCTACGAAGACAAAGGTCCGTTAGCCTGGAAAAAACCCAAGCTTCGCGATATAGAGACACTGTACTTTAACAGCCGTGGAAGGATCGACTGGAGATTAAACAACTTCAGGGACCCGATAATGAGATGCGCACAGGCTGCCCAAGCCAAAGGATTCCTGTGCTTTGGTGTTCAGTTTTACGGTGAATGCTGGGGATCCGTTACTGCCTGTGAGACTTACAACAGTTATGGAAAATCGATGAGGTGTACCGGAGGCGCCGGTGTTTATTGGGCTAACTTTGTTTACAAGGGTAGATGTGGATCAGGTAAGTACATTGATAATTTCTACACGTACAAGTGCTGCCCTGAGGTATGTCAATAATTTGTGGATGATGTTAAACATTATTCGCTTGTGTTCAGTCATCTCGGGATCGCTGATCTCTCCTCAACAGATTTAACAAAAGAAGACTAATCAGCCGAAACTGAAAGCACCGATTAAATCAAATATCAAAATTCAAGTTTTGACCAAATAATCACCAAGTTCTAAAGGGAGTATTGAGGTATTTTCTTCGTAAATCTACTTTTTAAAACATTTGATGCATTTTTTTTCCTACAACACCTGAACATCTTTTTTCACTAGTTCAAGTGATTTTTAACATGGAAAGCCTTTCCTGAGACCATTTCGCGGAAGAAAAAAAGATGCATGGGCGTGAGGTTTTCGGCCTGAAATAAGTTTCTAAGGACGGAGAAATACGAAAACATTCATTATTTCCTCGCTCAGTAACCAATCGGTCATGTATGACTTAACAAAATGTCCCATTTACTTTCCTGCAGCGTATGGGTGTTGTCCTGACAGAGCTATGCCAGCTCTTGGCAAAAACTATGAAGGTTGCCCAGGTCAGTGTGAATAATGATCAGTTGTGATTGACCAAGACTCTAACCATGGCTTGGTGTGTAAGACAAATAATTTTGTCATCCAGCATGTCGATTGATCCTTATTGTAGAACTTTTGTTCACAAACTCTTTCTTAAAAAGTAAATTAATCTCAACAAGAGCTTGGTTATCACAGAATATGGTTTACAGTCAGAGAACTTTCAGGGGTGTAGCCATTCCATGGGCTCGTAGGCCCAGGCCTGCAATTTTTTTCTACCCGGTTGACTCTTATGATATGACTTTTGCAAATATGGAAACAAAAATCGAACTTTCTGACAAAATTCTTTCGAATTCTTATATAACAAAAAAGCAGCAAGAGTAAATCTCGTAACGTTAAAGCACTAGGTTAGCACTATTCCAGATCTCTGAATATGTTGTCAAACCATACAGCGACTACCATGTACAAGACAGCTACCACATTGGCAGTTGCAATGTCAAAGAATTTTCCATTTTTGGGGGTCAGACTGTGTGAGAATAAATACATAAATAAATAAAGAAATAAATCCAATACAGCGCACTACAGGGTCTACTTAGCAAACAGGCTTACAACAATTCGGAAAGCTGGCTACGCCACTGAGTTATTCTATTTCTTCCATAATCTTAGATTGTACCACTGTTGTGGACATAGTTTTTATTGTCGACTCGTCTGGAAGTATTGGAAGGAAAAACTTCAACACGATGAAAGATGTTTTACTCAAGCTCGTCCGCCATTTCTCCGTCAGTGAATCTTACGCTCGAGTTGCTATCGTTCAATACGCTACTAATGCAAGAAGAATTTTTTCACTTCACAAATCACAGCGACGGGGATTTCTGGAACTTCTGAGGAGTATTTTAAGAATGCGTTACACTCAAGGGGGAACGAAAACTGGAAAGGCCCTGGATTTGGCGGCCAGAATGCTGCGCCATTCTAAGAGAATGGTTAATCGCAAGATCATAAAACATTATAAGGTATTGATCATTTTCATCTGTAGGATTCAGAGATAAATGACGAACAGCATGAGAAAGTTAGCTTAGCGGGGGAGGGAGGGGGGGTTAAAGGTTATTATGACAGATAAGAATATTGGGTGTTTTTAGGGGAATTTCAGCAACTCTTTTTATAATCTTCGTTTCCTTTGAGGCTTTTGCCCTTCAGTTCCCGAGTTTTCTGCTTCGCTAATGGAGATTGTTGCTTAAAGTGGCTATCTGTATGTCACGAAAGGTACTGGTCACGTATAGTCCAAAGGGAAAACGATGGAATGGTACAATCAGGGAAGGAGAATCTAATCTTGAATTTGTTTGGTAAAGTAATTGAGAAATTTAAAAGATGGAGTAGCTAAATTCTTCTTTATTGCTGCGGTACATTTCTTCTATATCCCCTCAGGAAGTTATGGTCTTAACTGACGGCGTTACAAATAAAGATGACAAGAAAAGATTAAAACGGAGAGCGGCTGCTCTAAAAGCAATCTCTCACGTAATAGCTTGTGGCGTTCAGGGAAAGGGGTACGACGCCAAGAAACAAAAGCAGCAACGTAAGGAGTTAAGTGAGATCGCCAGTAAGGAGAGCGATGTATTCTACGCGCCATCCTTCCAGAAGCTTAAAAAACTCGTGAGTCCAATAGCCCGTCTCGCATGCCCACTGAACAAGAATCGTAAACTGGTGTAAGTTTTGACATTTCACCATGTTTTTTACGTTTCAAAGTCGTGTACATGACTTGTTCAGATATCAAATGAAAGATAAATCTCATTGGTTACTTTTGCATAGGTTCTTAGCTACTTTTGTAAAGGTATCCTTATTCCTACTGACTTGCTCTCAATGTTTTACCATCCTTCTTTGACAGGTGAGGAGATTCGAACGGGGTGTAATCACAAGCTAAGGTGCATGGCAGTGATAAGGGTGCTGGGACCTGAAAACTTGCTGGAAAAGTTTATTTTGCAATCAAAAGTGTAAACAATACGGGAATAAAAAAAATGGGAAAAAATAGAAAATTAAAGATTGCGATTTTTCCCCTAATGAGATATGGCAAACAGAATATTTTTCCATTAACATTTATTTCCCCTTTGTGCAATCATAACAGCAATAATACAGAAAAGACATACAGCATTGCTTAAAATCAACCAGTTAGAGCGCTTGTGTACGAATCTCACACACAGACTTTAAATTTGTTCCCATAAAAGTAACTTGGTGAACCTCGATCGCATCGTTCGCAGATCTCAGCAGCATTTACAATGATAACTTCTTTTTTAAGTGATAAGCAACGGTGTTATACTCATCATGAAGGTGCGGTTTCACCAACCAAACTTTATCGCGTACGACCTTGTCTTTATTTCGGACCCACTCAAAATACAATGCTGACCTATTAGCCACAAGGACTCTTCCATATCCGAAGTCATTCTCTCTGAAGCGAGACCATGAGAAATCCCAGAAACCCTCCGTATCTAACGCATACCCGGCCGAGCCCACAACCACGTGAGTAGTCCCCAGTCCTTCTTCTTCTTGACAGATCTGCTCGTAAACTGCGCATGTTCTCTCGTAGCTGTGATAATGTCCCCAAAAGGCAAGGTCCACTTGATATTTGTGAAGAAGGTTTTCCAGATAATACTGCATGCCAAGTGACACTATGTAGTCGTCTAATAAGGCAAAGGATAGATGTGAGAGGCATTATTGAAAAGAAATTTATCTCCTTGTGGCCCAATTCCATCTGTCAATCCTTTTCGAAAATCTTGGTAAAAATATCTTTGTGGATGTGTACCAGTGCTATTATATCCATTTTAATTTCTTACCTACTACTTTTTGGCTTGTATACATCGGTCGATGTCCTCCTAACACAATCCAAGGTGTTTTATTCCGATCAACTTTCTTCAAGTCATTTTCCAGCCAAGTGTACTGCCTTGATCCGGGTCTGATATCATGTTCAGAGCTCATCATAATAAAATGAACGCTTCCATAATCATAACTGTACCTGTAATATCAGAACAGTAGCGGTGACCAGGAGTTTAAGTCTCTCTATAATATCGAAAAAAAAAACTAGAACACAGAGGCGCCGGACAAAAAGTGATTCAAACTCCAACCTAGTGTGGAGGAGAAACTCGTCTTTGGCTTTCGCATTAAGGTTTTGTTTTTTTGTTTCTATGATTTTCATTCGTTAAAAAAGGAAGGCAAAAGTTTTGGATGACGGAATGAATGGCTTACGTTGACCCTTTTGATCTGTGTTTTGGTAAATGGTTTTGTTTTTTACCCTTTTGGACGGGCTACCGTGCTAAAGTTGAGATTTCACGAGTCATGCACAACTAGTGCCCCAAGTTGTAGAGAGAGAAATAGCTTCGTCACATAATGTCTGATAGGAGAGACAACAGATTTAACAGAAAGGAAACCTCAATACACGTACCACCATACTGCATTTCCGTTGTCAGGCATGTGAAATCTGTAGTACATAGGCACTCCACACTCTCCCCCAGAGTCATCGCCAAAGTTCCCCCACGAAGGGTGCCAGCCTTCTCCCGGAGCACCACTTGGGTCTTTAGAGCCTCCTGAAAGATGGTCTTGCTCGTGATTCCCTATGCCCACCATATATGGCATTATAGTTGCATAAGGCTCAATAAGTTCGTGCCACTGGTCCCAGATGTAGGCCTGTTTGCAAAAAATACAGAAGGGCGATTTACAGTCAGTCTGATAGTCTTGACAAAAGCCATCAACTCCCAGGGGCGATTAACATGCAAACTCTCCCTACCGTGTCGATACATTTTCCTGCAGACAGGTGAGGAGAACACACAACCTAATCGTGTTATGTTATATAACGCCAAATTCTTTTGTCTAATTAACAATAAAATGTATGAAAGTCAGAGAGGAGAATTAATTGTTGAATCTTAAAAATTAAGGAGTTAAAGGAGCAGTTTGTTACGGTTTGTTCGGTTAAAATTTCGTCGAAATTTATCAAGGTAATCGTTTGAAATCTATCTAAATCTTCTTCATCTCTAACCGTCCTCGTCACAGTTTGGTTTAGTCTTTTCCCTTTGCTGTGAGTTTACCATAAAAAACTTTTTGTCTCCAAAAATTGCTCAAAATTTATTATTTTCGGAGGAACAAAAGCCTGAAATTTAGCTCCGTTTTTTCGAAGATGATACCCGCACCTCCCTATTTATCAGTCGGATTATCATTATGTTGGATAAATCTACAACTCGGTGAAATTACAGTTTTATGTTGACAATTTTCGAACGTTACTTTTTCCCATCCTTATAGACCTGAATAATACCATATTTATGAAGTCTATTTTTGAGCAGAACAATGTGCATATTATCATACAGTTGATTTTTCATTATCAGCTTCTTCAACTTTGTAAAATGTTTTTTATCCTGTCATGTAACGGATAAGAAAATGACCGGTGTGATACTTTTTAGTAGTACTTTTGAAATATGTGACCTGACTCGGCCTATCGCTAGATACCTCCAAGAAAACCTTCATGCTGCCGGCTGCCATCACTAAACTAAACAAAACAACAAAGGGGTACCCTCGTTTTCTCTCGGCAAAAACTAAGAGTATAGCGTAAGGCCTAAGAGAGTTTTCAAGAAAAATTTGCAGGGAATATTAAAAGCCACTTACGTATCCTCTAGCATATGAGATGTCACCAACGTGAAATACAAGTGAGCTGCCATTCTTGGCCTCCTCTACCAAGTACTTTGCTGTATCGTGCGAACCAGGGAGGGGTGTGTTCCCCATGTCTCCATAAACTACAAACTGAAAGGAAGTGTCAGGATCTGTGACGGGAGCCGAGCGAAACTGGCGCACATCGCTCATCATCTAAACAAGAAAAGGAAAACTTGAATGTAGGAACCCAGTACAAGAAACTGGCCATCTTTTTTCGCGAATAACCTTTCCGAGCTCCAAAATACTGACAAGATCAGGGTGGTATCGTCGCACAGGTATCCCTCCGGGATCCGAGAGGGATCTCAGACGGGATTCTTACGGTATCCCGCCGGGATCCCACGCAGAATGTTTACGGTACCCCGCTACGGTTCTCGTTAAAATTCCGATGGGAGACCGTCCGGAAGAAAAATCTGTCAGTGCTTACGAAGAAACATGTGTTTCGTGTACAGTGTACTTGTTCTTACGGGATCACCAGGAGGGTAACGACAACGAGCATGGGCCCTCGAAAGCGAAATTCAATTTAAAAAAAAAGAAATAGGGATTGAGATCGTGGCACGCTCTTTAAAATGTTGCATCTGCACCTCAAATCTGTCAAGACATACATCACCCATGCATGACACAAATTTCCCCTTAAAAACCCATGGCAGTGAATTTGCGATTTGATTGTGTTTCAATGGCAATAGGATTCCCTCTTTCAAATGCAAAGTGTAATTTGCAAACTCTAGCAGGCTTTTTAAATCAGAAACAGACCTTATATGATCCGTACGAATAAAAGTACTGGGTGGATGGAATCAGTCCTGTTATTTGAACATCGTGGATGAAACCAGGATTCGAAAAACCACTTAAAGAAGCTGGTGGTCCACACATGTCGGTTTTTTTGTATGTCTTGGAAGTACCTGTAGCTATTGAACCCAGATAAGAAGGGCGTGTTCCATAGTGTACGACTGGTGGATCATCTGAAGCAAGTACAAAGTCACAAAAACGTGAATTAGAAGAACCACGAGTACTGAAAATAAAGTTATCAATTCCGCCCTTCTCATTTCTTTCATTGGTTTATTATTTGCCCCTTCGTAAACTATTGATTTTTACACTTCCTCTTTCTTTGGTTCTTTCGTTTATTCGTTCTTTCATTCTTCAACCGAAACATAAACATTATTATTTATATTTTCAACATTTTTTTCTTTACATTTTCTATGGTACTGACAAAGAGGATTTGATTGAAATCAGGAGCTTCTGAAATCGATGATCATTTCCTTTATTCTCATGCCCTTTATATATAATTCAAGGGTGATGCTGTAAAGAGAATTAAAGGCCAGCCACTCCTAGGGGTTACAAGGTTAACATCTCAGGATATAGTTAGAGGCGAAGATATTTGTAAGTGAAATAGCTGAAGTCTGGACCTCTAATCGGAATTAGGGTGATCAATGAATGTGCACAACAGATTTACTGTTACAGGGACCGCGCAGAGGGAGGGGCTGGGGGGGCTTTAGCCCTCCCCCCAACTTTTCTGCAAGAATAAAAATAAATTAAACAAAAAATAATTTAACAAAAAAATTTTTCTTCACGCATTT